TTCCACCTACACAGTTGTTAGTACCTCGAGACTCGTTTTGTTTTTGCTCAAAAATGAATTATTATTAGTCACTATTTATTTATTATATATATTTATTCCTAAATATGACTCATTTCTGATCGTTTTTTGGGGAAAGGAATTTTCTATTTCATATTCCCGCATGAAAAGCATTGTTTGCTAATTAATAGAGAACTTCCACTTTGACTACGACCTTGTCTAAATATGATCAGAGTCGGTGAACTCAAAAGGCTTCCATAGCCTTGGCAACTCATGAAAAGAGCCTAGGGTGATTATTGATGCCATAAACAAGACTGTCAAATTGTTAATTAAGAAATTTTAACTACACCGTTTTATTGGTCATGGAAAAACCTTCTTCATTTTGCAGTGGGATTTGACAAAAAAAATAGATGGAATATTTCTCAACAAGAATGCTTTTTAAAATAAAATCTTAGAAATCTGCAAAGGTAGTACATTATGAAAATCAATTTGTCTTTTTAAACCTTGAACTACAACACTGGTGGGATAATACATTCCTTACCTTTTATGGAAATTGGTCCTTACCATGGGAACTTTATTTCTCAGTCTTTAACAAAGGCAAGCCAAGTCAAATCAAAACAAAACAAAAAGCTTTTCACTGTTTCTTATTGTATTTAGTACAGCTGTTTCTCTAATGTTATAATCAGATACATTTTTCTGTATTTCTTTTTTTAAAAACAGTTTTATTTATTTATTTTGAAAGAGTTACAGAGACAGAAGGAGAGATAGAGGTCTTGCATCTGCTGATAATTCACATGGCCACAACTGCCCAGCTGGGCCTGGAGCTGCTTCCCTGTCTCCCACATGGGTATTTGGAGCCCAAACACTTAGGCCGTCCTCTGCTGCTATTCCCAGCCGTTAGCACAAGCTGGATCAGAAGCAGTGCAGCTGGGATATAAACCAGTGCCCATATGGGAAGCCGCCATAGTAGATGGTAGTATTACCTGTTATGAAACAATTTGGCGCCCCATTTTTCCATATTTCTAATAAAACAAATGTGTTTACATAGGAGCCTGAGAGACTATCTGGTACCGATAACCTTATGCATGGTATTAACAAAATTACATGCAAATCACCTATACAAATACAATGCTGTAAACTTACGTGTTTTTATTTTCTTATAGCTTATTCAGAGACCATTTACCACCATGATTTCATTGTACAGAGTACAGTTTTTCTCTAAATCATGCATAAATCATTATTTCTCAAAGTTTTTACATGAATAATAAATATCTTATGTATTATGCCACATATATGCTATTAGAATATACTTTTTTTTCTTTTTTATTTTTTTTTTTATTTTTTATTTTTTTGACAGGCAGAATGGACAGTGAGAGAGAGAGACAGAGAGAAAGGTCTTCCTTTGCCGTTGGTTCACCCTCCAATGGCCGCCGCGGCCGGCGCACCGCGCTGATCCGATGGCAGGAGCCAGGAGCCAGGTGCTTTTCCTGGTCTCCCATGGGGTGCAGGGCCCAAGCACCTGGGCCATCCTCCACTGCACTCCCTGGCCACAGCAGAGAGCTGGCCTGAAAGAGGGGCAACCGGGACAGAATCCGGCGCCCAACCGGGACTAGAACCCGGTGTGCCGGCACCACTAGGTGGAGGATTAGCCTAGTGAGCCGCGGGGCCGGCCTAGAATATACTTCTTAATCTTCAAGTTATTCTAGATACTCAGCTATACCTTTGCTTGTTACACATAATTATCTGCATTGTGTGTCATATCTCTTGGAGGGTTCTTTAATATTTTTAATCTTTGAGATAAATTATTTTTAATTTCCATCATTGTCAAAGGCTTAATGTTACACTAAATAAAATTCAACAAATAAGAAGTAAAAAGAACATAGCTCAGTAGGAATCTGGGCAGGGGCTATAACGAATAATGAAATGAAAAATGTCTATTTCACTGGTATATGGTGAATTTTAAATAGTCACAGGATATTTGAATTTTTAGGACCTTAATGTGCAAAAGGATTTTAATCTCATTCAAGAATCCAGGTATAAGTTCATCTTTAGTGCATTTTATCTAGTCCCTAAAATACTATTGTGTAACAAACTGAAAATTTTATTCAACATAAAATTTTATAAAATTTATTATGAAAGGTCAAAACAAATTTTTCCCTTTAAAAATATAGTATTCCTGGGGCTGGAGCAGTGGCTCATTTGGCTAATCCTCTGCCTGTGGTGCTGGCATCCCATATGGGTGCCTTATTCTAGTCCTGGTTGCTTCTCTTCCAGTCCAGCTCTCTGCTGTGGCCTGGGAAGTCAGTGGAGGATGGCCCAAGTGCTTGGGCCCCTGCACCCCCATGGGAGATCAAGAGAAAGCACCTGGCTCCTGGCTTTGTATTGGCGCAGCCCCAGCCGTGGCTGCCATTTGGGGAGTGAACCAACGGAAGGAGGACCTTTCTCTTTGTCTCTTTCTCTCACTGTCTATAACTCTACCTGTCAAAATAAGAAAAAAAAAATTCCTTATCAAAAGGAAAATTTTTATGAGTGTTCAATGTATAAAGCAAATTAGAAAGACATGTCTCTAGCCAGCGCTGCAGCTCACTAGGCTAATCCTCCGCCTTGCAGCGCCAGCACACCGGGTTCTAGTCCCCGTCGGGGAGCCGAATTCTGTCCCGGTTGCCCCTCTTCCAGGCCAGCTTTCTGCTGTGGCCAGGGAGTGCAGTGGAGGATGGCCCAGGTGCTTGGGCCCTGCACCCCATGGGAGACCAGGATAAGTACCTGGCTCCTGCCATCGGATCAGCGTGGTGCACCGGCCGCAGTGCACCGGCCTCGGCGGCCATTGGATGGTGAGCCAACAGCAAAGGAAGACCTTTCTCTCTGTCTCTCTCTCTCTCTTTCACTGTCCACTCTGCCTGTCTAAAAAAAAAAGAAAGAAAGACATGTCTCATAATTTGTCTTTTTTTTCATACTCCCCAGGTTCCCACATGATAAAGTACATCTGATTTGTTTTTTGTTTTTTTTTTTGCTGTTGTTTTTGTTTTTGTTTTTGTTTTTGTTTTTGTTTTTGACAGGCAGAGTGGACAGTGAGAGAGAGAGAGACAGAGAGAAAGGTCTTCCTTTGCCATTGGTTCACCCTCCAATGGCCGCCGCAGCAGGCGCCCTGCAGCTGGCGCACCACGCTGATCCGAAGCCAGGAGCCAGGTGCTTATCCTGGTCTCCCATGGGGTGCAGGGCCCAAGCACTTGGGCCATCCTCCACTGCACTCCAGGGCCACAGCAGAGAGCTGGCCTGGAAAAGGAGCAACCGGGACAGAATCCAGCTCCCCGACTGGGACTAGAACCCGGTGTGCCGGCGCCGCAAGGCGGAGGAGTAGCCTATTTTGCCGCGACGCCGGCTATGATTTGTTGTAGACAACTAAATACATCTCAGTTATGATAAAAATCTTCCTAAGGAAAATGGATATTTCAGTGAATTTATATCAAGTTAACTTATATTAAGATACTTACAGAAATAGAAATAGAAGTAATACAAAACAACACCATGTTGTCCAATTTTATTCATGGGTAGGAGGCTAAGGTAGGAATTGAGATGAATTTCATGTGTTCTTTCTTACTTGATCTTTCACCTATCCATCATTACAGATTTGGGAATAAAGTTAAGTCACCTATGAGAAGAATGTACATGTTTACTTGTGAAGAAAATACCTTTCTGGTAAGCTACTATCACCCTAAATAAAAAAACCACAAAAATAAAATACTGTTCACATGATACTTGAGACTATTTCCAGTAAATGGACATGGAAGATAATTTAAGCACCAATTATCTTTCCCAACAACCCTGCAAGGAAATGTTGGTTTTATATATGAGAATACATATATATATATGTGTATATATATATATATATATATAGTTTGCCCAATGTCATCTATGTGTATACCATAACTTAAAGTGCTGTAGGGATTCTACCTATCTACATACCCATGTATATACATACATATTCTGGCACATTTTCTTATATAAAGACTATCCCCAATGTGATTTACAGACTTCTTTCTCTTGCAACTATCCAATCTCTATCAAGAGTTGATTTTGACTGTTCATCTGTAGACATAAGGATTTTATAGGAATACATTTGACGTCAGGAATACAATGCATTTTTCAAATTTTATTAATTTTATATATGTAACTGGTATATACATAATGGAATTATATTACATATACTTAATAGATTCATTGTAATTAAAATTATATAAATAGTAAATAAAAACTTAAATGATACTGCAACAATTGTCCATTTATTGAACACCCAAAGCTTTAACAATATTGAACTGAACAATATTTAGAATTTTTTTCATTTTGACTTTATATATAAAGGATTATCTAAAAGTTCATGGAAATTGGAATTCAAAGGTAACAGTTTTGAATTCTATGCATAATAGTTTGTCATAGCACATTTGCATACATTTTGAAAACCACTTATATGCATGTATTTCAATGTTTTTGCTCCTAAATAAATATTTTAATTCCTCTTTACCCAAACTTTATGAACTAAGTTTGCATTCATATTTATATATATATCTGCATTCTTATCTATGTCTACCTGTCTTTCTATATGAGTTTCTCAATCTTTTCACGACTGGTGGTTTTGGCTGAATACTGTTGTCATCTATACACTGCATATATTAAAATGTACATGAGCATAATTGCCATCTAACTATTGGACACCAGCAGCAACTCAAATCCCAGTTATGATTACCAAAATACCTCTTTGACAATGGATAATATTACTTTTGTAATATGACCCCAACTGAAAACCACTCATGTATCTATGTTGTTTTATCTACTTACATACATTTTTTAATGTAGAGATGGGCTAATTTTCAAATATTCAGAATTGAGAGTTGAGATGTATTTTATTTTCACTAGTTTTGCATGATAAATATCAACCAGATGAAAATTCTGAAATCTACTGACTATACTGATGCCATTATCCAGAATAGGTTTTCTGATCAACCTGCATGGAAAGACACAACATCACAGTGGTGAAGGAATTCATTCTGATGGGAATCACAAATCGCCCCGAGCTGCAGGCTCCACTCTTTGTGCTGTTCCTCATCGTTTATCTGATCTCAGCAGTGGGCAACCTGGGCATGATCATCCTCACCAAGACAGACAACAAGCTGCACACTCCCATGTACTTTTTTCTCAGACACCTGGCTATTACAGATCTTGGTTATTCTACAGCTGTGGGACCCAAAATGTTAGTTAACTTTGTTGTGGATCAGAATACAATATCCTATTATTTTTGTGCTACACAGCTCTCTTTTTTTCTCGTATTCATTATTAGTGAGCTTTTTATTCTGTCAGCAATGTCCTATGACCGCTATGTGGCCATTTGTAAACCTTTGCTCTACACAGTCATTATGTCACAAAGGGTATGTTGGATGCTGGTGGCAATTCCCTATCTTTATTGTACATTTGTGTCTCTTCTTGTCACCACAAAGATTTTTACTTTAACTTTCTGTGGCTACAATGTAATCAGTCATTTCTATTGTGATAGTCTCCCTTTGTTATCTTTGCTCTGCTCAAATACACATGAAATTGAAATGATAATTCTGATCTTAGCAGCTTTCAATTTAGTTTCATCTCTTCTAATAGTTCTTATCTCTTACTTGCTTATACTTATTACTATTCTTAGGATGAATTCTGCTGAGGGCAGATACAAGGCTTTCTCCACCTGTGGATCACACCTGACAGTGGTCACAGTGTTCTATGGGACTTTGATATTTATGTATGTGCAGCCCAAGTCCAGTCATTCTTTTGATACTGATAAAGTAGCATCTATATTTTATACCCTGATTATCCCCATGTTGAATCCCTTGATCTATAGCTTGAGGAACAAGGATGTAAAATATGCCCTGCAAAGGACATTGAATAAAATATGGGATATTGTTTACTAAAGTTCACAATGATTATAAGTCTTACAATTAGATCTGGGTGTGAATTTTCTGTTTTCCTCTATAGTGTATTGCACATATAGACTCGACATATATTTATTCATGTTCTCAATAGTATTCATACTTCTAAATACTGTAAATGCATTAGTGAAAAAACAATAAAATATTTTGTTTTCCTTACACAAAGAGATGAATTACAAAAACAAGAATTGAGAATATTTTATAGCACAGTAGTCCGTGTTTAGGGACCATAGACTAAGAACAGACAAGGAGACTGAGTGTTCTGTATGTGAACATACCCCCGGCCTCAACTGGACTGCACGCTCAGCTCTCTGCCTCTTTGCTGAGCTGTCCACTTGGTCTGGCCAGGTGTACTCCACTCAACCATGTAACCTCACTCCTTCCCCCCCCACCCCTCAGTCCAAGCAACTGCACTCTTTCCCAGGTCCTGTCTGGAGAGGTGCCCATCCATCCTTACGGATGTCCCTTCCCTAATAAACCTTGCTATTTTACCTCCCACTACTCTCTGTCTCACGCCTGAATTCTTTCTTGCGCGAAGACAAGAACCCTGCAATTTCTCCGTTAACACAAGGACAGCACAGTAGAGATTGCTAAACAAAGTAACTCCCTGTACCCAAAGCTCCTGTGCTGTCAGCCCCCGCTGTAACTCCTTGCGCCCAAAGCTTCCATGCTGTATGTAACTCTTTTTTCCTGCTGATGTAGCCCTTTTTCCTTTAAAAACTCTCCCAAAGACCGGGGCCTCAGTCCTTCCTCCGCTGTGCTGGTTGGTTGGATGGGGTCTTTGTCGTGGCTTGTACGCCCAAATAAACCTTGCTATTGCAGTTCGGTGTGATCAACTCTCTGGGGGTCTCTGTGGGGATCTAACAATCTGGGCACAACATAATTTGGGGGCTCGTCTGGGATTGTGATCCCCAACAGCCCCCCCGGCGACCTCGACTGGGTGAGTTCGTTAGTCTATTTGTTCATTGTTTAATTGTGTCTAAATCTGAATCTGTATCATCAGCTGTTGCATCTGTATTCTGAATCTGTGGAGGGTCACTTCCTGAGTGGACACGCTCACAGGGCACACCCCGGAGGAAATGGGAGACGTCCTGATTCCTCGTCTTGGACCTGGGAAGGTCCAATCTGTATCTGGGTACCTGGGTAGGTCCAATCTGTATCTAGGGATGAAGAGAAGAGGGACTGCTGCAGAGTTCTGGTCCCACCTGTAAGGTCTTTGGTCTCCTTCAGACTCCCGGAGGTTTGCCCTCAGAGCAGTAGAGATCTTCTGTAATATAACCATCTGAATCTGTCCGCGGAAATTCTGTACAGGCGCGGTGTTTGTCTTTTTGTTAAGTGGTGTTTGTGTTATTTCTGTTGACAACTGACTTAACTAGACAGAACATGGGGGCAACTCCACTGGATCTAACTCTTGCACAGTGAAAAAAAAAATGTAAAAAAAGTGACTCATAATAATGTAGGTTAAGGGCTGGGTTGGTCGGGCTGGAGCATGAAGCGGAGTTCGGTGCGCGCCGCAGCTGGACAAGGTGCTACCCCAATCCCCCCCAGTCCCCCCGCCCCGGGAGCAGACGGCGGGGACTCTGGATGTGAGCTGGGCCCTTCCCATGGATCGCCCCAGCTGCAACAGGAGTTGTGGCTGCCTTCGGGAAGCCTGGCAGGCGCTGCATGTGCAGCGCTCCCAGGGTCGGGGTGCGAGGAGGAGACCCCTTGCCTTTTCCCACGGTGCCTTGCAGGCGCGTGCCCCCCCTCCCCCCTGCCAGGCCCGTCCCGTGGCCCGTCCCGCGAAGCAGCTCGCCTTGGCCGGCGCCCAGCAGCTGACTTAGAACTGGTGCAGACCAGGGGAATCCAACTGTTAAAGCATGATGAGGGCCCGTGGCTTGTGTTAACGTGATGTAATTTCTGCCCAGTGCTCTAAATGTCAAAGTAAGGAAATTCAATGAAGCGCGGAAAGCCAGCGGGAGCCCTTGGGGGCCAATGGTGGCATCCAGTGAGTTCTTGCTGGACCTTAAAAATCCGGGAAAGAGGGTGTAAATCTCACTCCCAGCCTTACCCATATCTGCAACAGGTCTCCAAGGTAAACAGCCTCTGGCATGTTGGACCAATGTAAATGTTAAAAAGGACAATTACAATTGGGTTAATTTCTGTAAAGGAGTGACTCCATGTCTATCCCTAGGCTCTGTTGGCGGGTCTCAAAGTGGCTGTGAGCAAGATTGGCGCAAAATTCAAATTTGGCCTTAGAGACTGGCGTGGACTGGGTAGCTCTCCTCCCCTTACCTTATCTCAGAATTTGAACTTTATCTTAAAATCAGGTCTGGTCCAAAGTCTACTCTCCCTGTCTTATCACTGAAACAAATCGGGTATCCCACCCTTCTGATGGCTCTTCTGTTTTATCTCATGCAAGCCAGAAGATAGTGCTTTGTAACTTGCTGAACTTATTTTGCAATTTGTTTTAAAAAATTTCTGGGTGGTCAGTACTCAATAAAACAGTAATAGGTAATTAACACTTGTTTTAGGTAAATACAATTTTATTTTATTAAATTCAGATTGATATATATATTATCAGCATCCTAAGTCATAGTTCAACATCACTTAAAAGTAATTAATGCTAAAATTTGATGTGTTACTGTGGGGAATCCCACAGGAATCTCAAAAAGAGTCACGGATCACCTCTTACCTGAAAAGGAGATGAACTGTGGAAACACAATAAAACATTGAGTTAAGAAGTTACCACTAGCCACAAAATAAAAGTAAAGTGGAGTTATAAGTCAGGAGCTGAGGCAATGCCTAACGGCTGTTAGGGAGACGCTCCTAATCATACCAAGCAGACATCTCTGGTCCATCTGATAACGGTGCACTGCGGGCAATACCCTCCTACCCACGCTGACTGGACCATTCAAACACAAGTAAGGCGGGAGCAGTATTGACTGGGCCATTCAAACATAAGTAAAAACCAATAAAATTACACAAGTTGTATGATGGCAAATTGGAGGATTGTCAAAAAATGAGAATAAAAGAGGAGCCCTGGTGCTGCTCTCCATCCTTTCGGGGATCATGGCCTGGTGCGTGTAAACCAGCGGGAGCGAAAGAAAGAAGCGCGGAGCTGAGCCGAGCTGTCCCTGAGCTGTCCCTGAAGAGATCCTGACCCGTTCCTGACTTGTTCCAGCCACAGCTCTTGGAGCTGCACCTGTTCCTGAGTGGCCTTAGCCGCCGTTCCTAAGCGGCTTTAGCTGCATGAGCTGTCTCGTTCTGGTCTCGTTCCTGTCTAATAAAAGTTGCTGTAACACTTTCGGCTTTGCAGCCGAGTAAGGGGCCCAGTGTGTGTGAACCTCTGGATCTCCACACATCTGGAGCCGAAGGGGCAGCCCGCTACTCTGCACAGAGCAGATAGCGGCACAAGCTGACCACGGACAAGGGGCCCAGTGTGTGTGAACCTCTGGATCTCCACACAGCCGGAGCTGAAGTGGCAGCCTGCTATTCTGCGTGGAGTAGGTAGCAGCACAAGCCAACCTGCAGAGCTGTCCCTGAGCTGTAAAACCCTACTGTGTGTGTGCGTATGTGTGTGTGTGGCCCAGTGCGAGTGAACCTCTGGATCTCCTCGCATTTGGAGATGAAGAGCCAGCCTGCTAGCTTTTGCTATGTGGCACAAGGTGACAACGGGATCAAGAGGTCATCTGGAACTGCTGCGTTGCTGCAGGGCCATTGATGACCAGTGAAGCTGCGTCTCACCGCCTCACTTGGAGTCCTTATCAGCCCACTGCCAGAGCTGGCCACAGAGCCGGACCAGGCCTCTCAGCAGGGGACCTCTCCAACTTCTCGCCTGTTGTCCACCTGGAACCTTGAGCCTACTGCCCAGAGAGATAACCTTCCCACAACTTCCTTCCTGTAAGTGACTGGTCCGAGTTCTGTACCTGCTGGGACACTGAATTCTGGACACTGGACACTCCCCGCAGGAGAAACACATTTGTGACAGTTTTGCAAGCCTAGATACATAGCAAACCAATGTTATGTATTGAATCTTTTGCTGTGCATGTATTGTCCATGGTGATAGTACTTAAGATTATTTTAATAGTGTTTGTTGTGACTTGTGGTATAATAATATTGATTGCCTAGCAGATAAGTGATATTGTTAAGATTGGGTAGATGTATTAAGTTAAGTAGTTAAGTAGTTAAGTGGTTAAGTCAAGTAGTTAAGTGGTTAAGTGATTGAGTAGTTAAATAGTTAAGTCACATTAAATAATAGTGTTAAGTTTAGTGATAAGCGTATTAAATAGGATAGATTGATGAGTATATTGGTACTGATAAGTGTATGGACATCAATGAGCATTCTGATGAGTGATGTGATATAAAACCTCTGGTGTGTCACTGGTGTGTGAATAATAAAATTGGAAAAGACAGTCTTGTGTTTGTGTGTTCCTTTCTTCCCCGTGACTGACAAGTCGTACGTCGCACTTGCTACTGTTGACCTACGTGACAGTAGGCGCTTGCGACAATTACCTTGTTTAAAAATGTTGTCTTGACAGAGAAAAGACATCACAAGTATAAAAATAAAATGTTTCAAGTAAGTTTAAAAGGGTGTGTAAAAGTCACGAAAAGTTATAAAAAATTTTGGACACAAAAGCTATTACTGATTCTCTGTTAAAGCAATAAGTTAAGTAATCTATTATGTTCTCTTAATGTCTCTGTTAAATTCTAATTGTCTAAAAACAACTGAGTTTTTATTAGGAGCTATGGGTTATTTAAATATGTGCTTATTTTCAAACCTTTAAATAATTACCCTGTAATAATGATCAAATTTGGTCTGTATTATGTCATAATATAAAATGGTATTAATACAAATGTCTGAAAATTATAAAGTCTGGTAATCTAGTATTACTAAACATAATGGTCATCTTGGTAAAAGGGCCCCAGAGGCCTAAAAAAGTTAATTGTGCTTTGTAAAATCCTACAGGTGTTTTCAAAATGCTATGTAAAGTAAACAAGTGTCTCTTCTTGGTTAACAAGTTTGTAATTTTAAATATAACAACTTTAGGTCTTTTGTCATCCACAGTTTTGTATATCAGATTTACTACTCATAAAACTAAAGCGTTGTTGGTTCTGTGTTTAACTGTCCTACTATAGGTTGCAATGGACTTTTTCCAGCTACATCTATTGTATTCAGTACTTTGGGATGACTCTGTAAAGTGATAAAGCCAATAATGTATTACAGGTATCAACTGAAAAAAAAATTACAGTTCACTGAGGTTACTAAAATCAAAAAGCAATTGAAATCAATTAGTAATTTATAAAAAAGGTTTAAGATTTTAACAGCTGTTACTGAAACTGCTTTATTGTTCTGATGTACGTGACCCTGTAGTTTGCTGTGAAACTAAATGCATCTATCTAAATGTGGTTAGCCTTTAAATCAACTCCTCTGTATCAATTATGTATGTTTTTCTAATGTCTCTGCTGGACTAAATGTTATCTATACAAGAAAGTTATCTCAAGTGTTCATATTGCTGTAGAGCTTGATTATATTGTAATCTGTAACAAAATGTTTCCCATAAGTTTAAACAGCTAAAGTTAATCAAAAATTTGTGTAACCTAAATCTCTATAAACTTGTTAAAAAAAAAAAACTGGAAACATTTTATATACTTGTGCTTATATTTGCTGGTTAAACAAGCTACACCATGTTGGGTACTTAAGAGATGTTTCCAAGTACATGTATTCTTAACATTTGTAAAGGACATTGGACCTTCTGGTAAGTGTTTTCCTAAATTGTTGTCTAATAATTAAATCTACTTGCTAAGTTTTCATTTGATATTACTCTTAAAATGTTTGTGCATGGAAGAGCTGCCCTACCTTTTTGACCCTATTGCCTGCCATATATGATTATTCCTTGTGAGATTACTTAATTACTTGGAATAAAGACTAGCTTAGAAAATTAAAGCCACTGCCAGGCAACAACACACAGAGTAATGTATCTGTTTTGTCTCTGGTGGTGCAAAGCTTTTAAGCATAGCTCGTAACTGGTAAAATTTTGTAGTGACAATCTGGCAGTATCCTTGCATAGCTATTTGGGTAAGGACATAAGTCAGTTCTGTTAAAGGTCAACCATGTTCAGAAATCAGAGTAACTCAGCCCAGCTAAATATTCATAAAAACAACCCTATGACTATAGACTTCTAGTCTAGGCAACAAAAATTAGAGGTGGGACTGAGCACTCCCTTGACTTTCATTTTCTGGTCTGATTTAACAAAAACCAGAGGAAAAAGAGAGCTGGGCATCAGAAGCAATGTAAAGATGGGTGGCAGGCCTATTACAGGCAGCTCTGTGCAGTGATCTGCCCTCAGGGAGACCCAATAGGCCAGTCCACTGCAGTGGCTTTCGATGTGGTAAACCTGGGCTTCAGCAAAAGTCAGCTTATAAAGAGCCCTGGGAGCTCTGCCAGCCAAGAGTTGGATCACTGAAAATGGACCTGCCCTGGAGTCGAAGGACTTCAGGTCAGAGCCACAGATCTTACTGGCTCTAAGCTGAAAACACCTTCACTTAGCCCAGTCTCCAAAGTGACCGCCACTATTGAGAGAATGGACAAGTAGGGTCAGTAACATTGCAGACAGAGCTGTAAATTTCCTGTTGGAGATGCCACCTGCCTTTACCTGGCCAGCTCTCCTCCCAGGACAAGTAAGTAATAAAAGTCAACAGAGTGCCTTCCCCAAGGAGGTTCACACCTCCCTTAAAATGTACCCTATGTAAAAAGATAAATAGGTCTAGGTCCCTTAACTTACAAGGCCCAAAGCCCACCAGGTTATTATTAAGCCCCTTCTATCAGGTTCTCTTTGCCTCTCAATCAGAAAACTTATTTGTAACTTGGACAACACCTTTCTTGACTCCTCTATTAGCAACTCTGTCCTTTGTTCTGGACCCTGTCTGGCCCACTCCTGGGCCTCATTCCTTTGTAATTTTGTTGCTTATTAAAGTCAGTGGTATACAGACATTCTGTACATATCCTGTGGGTGCAGCAGTAGTATCTTTTAAACAGTATTACCATAAATAGTGTACTTCAAAATGTAAATTACCTTGTTTAAAATTGTGACTTTAACATCTGTATAATTAGTGCATATGGTATCTACTCTCCATTATCAAAATAATTCATTATTAGGTAAATTTGGCTAGTAGGGAATACAGTTCTGTGAGCAGTGTTTCCTATTAAATATCAACTACTGTCTCAGTTACACATAGCAGCAGCAGCTCCGCCTTGTTCAGGAAAAGTAAATGCACAAACTTAAAAAGTTAAAAGACATACTGCAAATAACTAGTCATTATTCTGTGTATAAAAGTAGAGCAGAAATTAAACGCTGAGGATTTCTGTAAATTCTTTATTCTCTGTAGTAGATTGCCATTTATATTCCCAACATGTGTGTACTGGTAATCCTCTCCCACACTAATGAGTGACTTTTCTCCCGGTTTTGGCTGGAATCTGCTTTATTCTCACCCTGTCTCTATACTACAGTGTCTGGTTAAGTGTTTACAGCTGGTGATGGAGTGAACCAAGGCCTTCGGCAACCAGGCGGTCAACCAAATTCTACTACAAAATGTGCTCGGCTCCCTACCCAGGAGACAGCGGCTTAAGACATCGCCCCATGGCAGCGAAGAGTGCCTCATTGCTCCATATCAGCAGGGGTGACTGAAGACGGATCATCATCCGTCTGCACCTCTTGGACTTCTGGGACTGATGTGGTGGGCTGTGTGCCACTCTGGAAAAAAATGCTGCTTTTACGCCGATCACTCAGGCCTAACAAAAGATAACATGACTGGCTAAGATCAGGGAGGGGCTGACAAAAAAAAAAGCCAAACAAAAAAACAGGAGGCTTCTCAGGGGTGATTTGAGTCCTGGTTCAATTCTTCTCCATGGCAAGCCACCCTACTATCAGGACTCATAGGGCCCCTTGTTCTCCTGACTTTAATTTTAACCTTCAGCCATTCCATTGTTAACAAACTTGTACAGTTTATGAAACAGATTTAACACCATTCAATTAATGGTCCAACGGTCCCAATATAAACCCTTAAATGTTTGTAAAACCTATAAAATATCAGTCCAAAACCCATGACTGGGTTTTTCAAACAAGTACAAAAACAAGGGGGAATGAAGAACCAAAGTGACTCCATTTTAAAACAATAAAAAAGCAGGCTCCTTTTCCCATAGCAGACCCGAGTCCTTGGAAAAGCAGGCATTCAGGCATTCCAGAGTTATCAAAGCTTACCAGGGACAGCTAGCTCGGTAGACCAAGGACAGCACAGTAGAGATTGCTAAACAAAGTAACTCCCTGTACCCAAAGCTCCTGTGCTGTAAGCCTCCGCTCTAACTCCCTGCGCCCAAAGTTTCCATGCTGTATGTAACTCTTTTTTCCTGCTGATGGAGCCCTTTTTTCCTTTAAAAACTCTCCCAAAGACCGGGGCCTCACTCTTTCCTCTGCTGTGCAGATTGGTTGGATGGGGTCTTTGTCGCGGCTTGTACTCCCGAATAAACCTTACTATTGCAGTTCGGTGTGATCAACTCTCTTGGGGTCTCTGTGGGGATCTAACAATCTGGGCACAACAATTTCACTAAGGCTAATGTTCACAAGATTCATTTTCTTTGCCACATGTTGCAGAATAGCCTCCTCTTTTAAGGCAAAACAACACCCCATTGTGTATGTATATATATATATATATATATATATATCACATTTTCTTTATTTTCCATGTACAGTCATTCATAGGATTTCGACAGCTCAGTTACTATGAGTAATGCAGCAATGCACATGGGTGTGCACAATATCTTTCTGAGATTCTGGGTTCAGTTATTTTTGATTAAAATCCACAAGTGGGCTTGCTCTAATTTAAGTATTTTGATACTCAATAGGTACCAAGAAGGAAAAAAAAAGCAAAATTTTCCTATCCCTTACAGAAATTGAAATTGATCACTGGGATTAGTGAGATGGCATTGGTACATGCCACCTTGATCATAATGATAGGACTAAGAAACAAAGGGATCACATAAACAAGAATAGTGTCTGCAAATACTAGCTGATAGAATCAAAAAGGGAGAGAACGATCCAACATGGGAAGTGAGATACACAGCAGACCCATAGAATGGCAGATGTCCTAACAGCACTCTGGCCTCAGAATCAGCCCTTAAGGCATGCGGATCTGGCTGAAAAGCCCATGAGAGTATTTCAGGCATGGAAAGCCAAGACACTCTGGAAAAAAAACAAAACAAAACAAAACAAAAAAAACCTAAATGAAAGATCTCCGTGAGTGAGATCCCAGTGGAAAGAATGGGTCATCAAAGAAGGAGGTACCTTTCTCTGAAGGGAGGAGAGAACTTCCACTTTGACCATGGCCTTGTCTAAATATGATCACAGTCGGTGAACTC